TCTCGTAAGGGAAAATAACAGAATAATGTTTACCCGCGCCGACGCCATGTCGCGTAACTCGCCCGTACCGGGGAACTATTCGCCATATTTATGGAAGGAAACCGTCATGACTCTGTCGGTTGTGTAAAATGCTTCTTCTACTCCATCTCCATGGTGGACATCGATATCGACATAAAGAACTCTTTGTTTGAAACGGAGAAGTTCGAGAATTCCAAGCACGATATCTAAAGCAAGTCGTAAGCAGTGTGAGAGCAATGGCGTTATCAGGACCTATTATTGTAAAGAGGCAGACATACCGTTCACGTAACAAAAGCCGCTAGCTTCGCTTTTTTTTGCATGATGAAGGCCGCCGGCCCAGTTTACTGCAATGTCGCATTTATTTCGGTTCAGGCGCGCAGCGCCTTCCATACTTCCTCCAGCACTAATCCCGCAAAACTCGAAGAGGCCATCAAATACCGGACAGTCGTCGCCGACATTGTATCGGCTTTGCTCTTTGGCGTAAGAGTCCATGTTGTCAGGCGTAACCTTAGCAAGGAAATCAATATATTCATCGGTGTGGAACTGGGTCATTTCGAACTTGTTTGCGGGTTTTGCACGCTGAGAAGACATAGTGCTCACATATTTCATTAGCAGGGGAGTCAAGCAACGCTTCAGGGACAAAAAATGGTGAAAGGGGCAGCAGAATTTAATGCGAGGACCAAGAATACGTACGTATATTTCCATCTTCTTATATAGACCGTAATTCATAACCAAGCTATGGGCCATCCGGATCCGATGAGGCTTCATGGGATGGCCTGCGACATAGGCATAGTTGCCCACATCGGAATCGTAAAAGTAAGCGACCCTCTTCTTATCGGCCGGCCCATTAGCTATACTCAAGTCGAGGGGTGCAAATGACGACATGATGAAAAATGCGCCCGCCTATTGTAAGTTCAAAGGGAGGAGTGACCGGGTTCCCAAGGCGAGGGCTGGTACTAGGTGCGGAGCGGTGCGGAGCGAAGAGTCAAACAGTAACTGTATACGGATATCGCCAGGAGAAGGGAAGGACCAGCATCATATATCGACTAAAAGTGCCAGTTATGGAGCGGACTGACGGTGGAGTCGCGAGATGCATCTGGAGAGCTAGAAAGCAAGCCCTCACTATGTACGGTCCTTGCTTTGCTGCTGGAGGTCAGTATGGCTGACTAAGCGGGTCTCGATATCAGACCCAACGGCATGCTCTGCTATCTACTATTGGTACTCTTCGACTCCTTGACTTACTTCACGGATATCATATCTTAAGCACTGATTAACAATTTCCTCAATTCTCCGCCGAAGATACCCTCGTTCGATACAGCTCTTTTCAGTGCTAGTTTAAGCCTCGCAAGCACCGGAGCCTGCTCTTGGAGTTCCATCTCTCGGGAGCCAGGCACAACCGGATCACGCTGTCTACCATTTTCGACATTACACTCAGCTAACACATATCACTAAAATGGAGCGGTTTAATCGGATGTTGCAGGCTGCTCAAGGCATGGGCATGACCAACACAGCTCCAGGCGCAGTAAGTTTGACTTCCCCCGGTTGTGTCACGTTCCATCTCGTTCTGCTTGCTTTTATATGCTTCCTTGGTATAGACATGTCAGAAAGGCTGGCTGTCTTTGAGAGTACATATATTCCATAGCAATAATAATTACTCCAAAATCATTATTTTTGTTATGAGGGCCTGTGGAAAGCTAACAGTATGACTTCGCAGGATGCACCTAACCTCATCGATAACTCTGAAACGGTTCACATATCATCGCTGGCCCTCCTCAAGATGTTGAGACATGGGCGGGCGGGTGTGCCCATGGAAGTTATGGGTCTCATGCTGGGGGATTTCGTTGATGAGTTTACCGTGAGAGTTGTTGATGTGTTCGCGATGCCTCAAAGTGGTACCGGAGTTAGTGTTGAAGCTGTGGACCCTGTCTTCCAAACCAAGATGATGGAGATGCTTCGACAAACGGGAAGGTTCGTATTTCCTTATTTTTTCACCCTTTTGCTTATATCTATAACAAATCATGACCGACTCTTTCGTAAACTTTATTCCAGGCCGGAGACTATCGTCGGATGGTACCATTCCCACCCCGGATTTGGCTCCTTACTGTCCTCCGTGGACATCAATACCCAG